GGAAACAATTGCACAAACCAACATGATGATAATATCCCTGCTGGAACCAGTTCTTGTCTTCCGTGTGTGCAGGTACCTGAAGAAAACAGAGAAGAAAACGGTCAGAATGATCAAAATCCCATCCAAAATGAGGCTATATTTCATGTAGAAGAAGAAGACGAAGATGGCGCAGCGTTCGAGGATGATTTGGCGGCGCCTGCCACCCCTGCGCGTCAATCTCCCTCGGATCACGCGCGGATATCCTCCTCGGATCGCGATCCGGTCGGTCAGGAGAGCCAGGTGCGGGCGAGCCGCCCCGCAGCCGCCACGTCCTCACGCGGAGGATCTCCCTCGAGCGGCCCGCGCATGCAGCCAATCGCTGCGAGGCGCAGCGGGCGCATGCAACAAACAGGCCCACCTGGCCCGACTGGCACGGGATCATCTACGGCCACAGATGGTGCGGGCGTGGAAGAACATGCCACACCTGCGACCACAGGATCTGATGTGGCAACGCCCGTCTCTTCTCCAGGATCTTCTGCGACAAGTGGATCCGTGCGCCCGCGTGTACAGCAGCAACCAGCTACATCCAGAGTCACAACTCAGCTACAAAAAGGTATCAAGAACCCAAAAATAAGAACTGATGGCACAATATCGTATGGTATGCTGTGTATTTCAGGAGAGCCAACAAAACTAGATGATGCACTTGGAGATCCAAAGTGGAAAAAGGCCATGGATGAGGAGTATACAACCCTGATGAAAAATAAGACATGGCGTTTGGTACCAAATCAAAAAGGCAAAAACATCATTGATTGTAAGTGGGTGTATAGGATTAAAAAAAGGGCAGATGGCTCCATTGACAGGTATAAAGCACGTCTTGTTGCTAAAGGTTTTAAGCAGCGTTATGGTATTGATTATGAGGATACATTTAGTCCTGTGATAAAATCTGCAACCATAAGACTTGTGCTAGCAATTGCTGTGTCCAGGGGATGGAGCTTGAGACAGCTAGACGTAAAGAACGCGTTTTTGCATGGTGTTTTGGAAGAGGAGGTCTACATGAGGCAACCACCAGGTTATGAAAACAAGCAAAAACCACATTATGTATGTAAGCTTGACAAGGCCCTCTATGGCTTGAAACAAGCACCTAGAGCGTGGTACTCCAGGTTAAGTATGCAGTTGAAACGCCTTGGTTTTGTTGCATCAAAAGCTGACACATCTCTCTTCATATACAATAAGGCAAATATTGTCATTTTTGTGCTCATATATGTTGATGATATTATAGTTGCAAGCTCTTCTCAGAATGCTACTGATGCTCTTTTGCATGACCTAAGCTCGGAATTTGCCTTAAAGGATCTTGGTGATTTGAGTTTCTTTCTAGGCATTGAAGTTAAGAAGGTTCAGGATGGTATAGTGTTGAAACAGGAAAAATATGCCACTGAACTCTTGGCTCGGATGGGAATGAAGGATCGCAAGCCTTCCCCCACACCATTATCCTCATCAGAACAACTGTCATCTTATGAAGGGGAACCACTTAATGAGAAGGAAAGCACCAGATATAGAAGTGATGTTGGAGCCTTGCAATATTTGACCTTGACACGGCCAGATATCTCATTCTCTGTTAACAAAGTATGTCAATACCTGCATGCTCCTACTTCTGCTCATTGGACAGCTGTCAAAAGAATCATACGGTATGTCAAGCACACTGTAGGTTTGGGGCTATATTTCAAACGTTCCAATTCTACACTGGTTAGTGCTTTCTCTGATGCAGACTGGGCAGGCTGTAAGTGATGATAGAAAATCCACAGGAGGGTTTGCTGTTTTCTTTGGGTCTAACCTTATTTCATGGAGTGCCAGGAAACAAGCAACAGTGTCAAGGTCGAGTACTGAAGCTGAGTACAAGTCATTGGCAAATGCTACTGCAGAGATTATTTGGGTTGAGTCTTTGCTTGAGGAATTGGGTGTTAAGCAACATCGTGTCTCATGCCTATGGTGTGATAATTTGGGTGCTACTTATTTGAGTGCCAGTCCAGTTTTTCATGCCAGAACCAAGCACATCGAAATAGACTTTCACTTTGTACGGGAAAGAGTTGCAGAGAAGAAGTTGGAGATACGTTTTATTCCTTCTAAAGATCAAGTAGCTTATGGTTTCACCAAAGCTCTACCGTACAAGCCATTTGAAGCATTCAAGAACAATCTCAATCTAGGATAGGTAGTTCAGATTAAGGGAGGGTGTTAGGCATAGAGATATATTATGTTGTAATCTTAAACTACTTATCTCTTCCTCTCCCTTGTAACCTCCTATCTCTCATCCTACCGAATCCTAGCGATCGGTAGAAGACTTGTAAACCACGGCAGGGGTGATTCCTGCCCTCGATTAATAAAACCCGCGGCTCCTCTACGGAGGAGTAGGAACTCTTTCACCAGATAACTCTTTCAAGACTAACCGCTCTAATACCATGTGAAAATTGTAGTATGACTAATGTTTGTTGTATTGACCTGACCCATGTGTAGGGTATATATAGAAGTACATGTGAGGGAGAAAGACTTGGAGTAGAAGACAAGTCATACATGATTTAATATATTTTATCTCTAACTCCTATCTCTATCTTAAACACAATATTCTTCTAACACGCCCTAGGTGTCTCTCTTGTCTCTCCTCTATTACTAGCAGGTAAATGCTGCTGGATTTTTCTTAATGAACCGAGGGTGTACTAGCTAGCAAGTAGTTGACCAGGCGTGTCCAATGAATGCATGGGAATCCATGACAACCTATTGCCTCCAAGGCTTGCTTCAGGTATACCTAACTGGCAAATCAATCAACCTATAGTGGTTGCACCGTCCCATCCGTATTGATATTATTATACTCTACCATACATGCATGGCCGTATACGTGTACGTGTATATGCTGCTAGCTAAGCAGTACCAGTAGTTGATCGCTCACGTCTCTGTTGTATATAGTTCGCATCTCATTGTCCTTTTATCGCCTCTTAATTACAAATTAATACGCGCCAATATGTGTCACGTCCTTGCTTAGCTACCCATGCATTTATTTATTCACTCACAGATGCCTAGCCAGATAGCTACCTTACCAGCATGCTACTACTAATAAACTATCCTTTGTTTCATCAGACCTAATGGAACAAGAAAGAACAGCCAATCGCCCATGTTCTGTCGTCTCCATTTTTGGTTTGTTCACATGGGAACATATGTGTGTATAGTTATATTTGTTCTATTGTTCACATGATGAAAGATTGACGAGAACTAATTATAACCGTCAAAATGCACTTAAATAAGTTAGTAGGTGTTGTTGTTAAGTACCCACGGACTATTAGCATCTTACCACAACAGGAGTTGTTGCACCCCCACATGCAGTTCAATGATCACATATGATACATGATTTGTTCCCTAAACTTATACAAAAAGCTGTTCATACTCAAATTTCAGGAATCACTAGCTTGCTAGTACTCCAATAGTAACTACTAATTTTCCATCAAAAAAAATACAACCTTCGATCCAAAATAAGTCGCAACCTTAGTACTCTCTCCGTCCCAAAATTCTTGTATCTAGGCAAATCTAAGACAAAAATTTTGGGACGGAGGGAGAACAAAACTGCGACATGGTTATGGATTGGAGAGAGTAGTACTCCCTCCGTTCCTAAATGTAAGTCTTTGTAGAGATTTCACTATGAACTAGATACGGATGTATATAGATGCATTTTAAGTGTGGATTCATTCATTTTACTCCGTATGTAGTCCACCTAGCGAAATCTCTAGGGAGTAACTAGTAATTAACCATGCATGCGGGGATTACCTGGGCTAGATGAAACAGTAATTATGCACGCAGGCTGAAATTGTTGCTTAATTACTGTGGAAAGCATGCATACATGATGTTAGAATTTGGAGAAGGACATGCGTAAGTATTTATTTTTTGTACTAGCACAGTGGACAACCGCTGGCGGCTCGATGAGTCGTCGTCGCTTATATAAGTACGCACCGTCCGTGAATGAGACCTCAACTTTACTCAACCGCTATGCATGTAGGTAGTTAACATATCCCAATCAGCTCTTTTCGATCATATCCACATGTCCCTAGCAAGCTTTCCTTTTCTAGGTTCTGTGCAAGGAGTTTGATTATATGCAAATATTTATGTACACAGAAATCAAATACAACATATATATGCATATGCAAATAAAAAGCATTAGCTAATTAAATTTCTGCAGCCTCATTTATGTGATAGAGCACTCATAGCAAGAGATTTATCTTGCAAAAGTAAAAAAAGAAAAGTACTAAACAAAATCCATTCCTTCTCCAAGAAAGTTGTATCTTGGTGGATGTATTGGTCTTTACTCTTTAGACACACACACGCACAACCCTACACAACCAAGAACCAACCATGAAAAGTTGAAAATAATCACTCCTTGGATAAAACAATCAAGGAATCAATCAAGCAAATATATATATTAATGTACATACAGATATGCATGGGTGGCTTTTCAACAAGACAATAATACACTTCCACAACTTTCTATCCAGAAGATTATATCCTACTCAAAAAGCAAAAATGAAATACTCCCTCCGTCCCAAAATTCTTGTCTTAAATTTGTCTAGATACGGATGTGCCTAATACTAAAACGTGACTTGATGCATCCGTATTTGGACAAATCTAAGACAAGAATTTTGGGACGGAGGGAGTATAAAATAAAATGGAATCTTGCATTAGATAAATAGATATAGATGTCCCGTGAGCCCAGCCAACCAGGTAAGGACCGGCGCGGCGCCGCCGGTGCCATCTCCAACCTCCACCTAGCTTATTACGTGGTGCTACGACCATCTCTAACCTCCCTATCATTTCCACCGTCATGTTCCTATCTACTCCCCAAACCAACCAATTTTTGCGACATCACATCGTATATAAACACAAATCCAAACCCCTTTCCACTTAACTCGTCTCCTCCAATATTGTTACTCAAGGAGGTGCATCGGCCGATTGATCAGCGCCAAGAAACTTCCATCCTTCGACTGATCATGGCGGCAGCAGCGGTGATGCTGCTATTGTTTTTCGCCTCCTGCATGCATGCCGCCGTGTTCTGCGCGGCCGCGGGTTTCGACGAGGTGCCGACGGTGGCCTTCGACGAGGCCTTCGCGCCGCTCTTCGGCGAGTCAAACATGGTTCGCTCCTCCGGCGGCGACGCCGTGAGCATCACCCTGGACCGCAGCACCGGCTCCGGCTTCATCTCCAAGCGCTACTACCACCACGGGCTCTTCAGCGCGGACGTCAAGCTCCCCGCCGGCCACACGGCCGGCGTCGTCGTTGCCTTCTATCTCTCCAACGGCGACGTCTTCGAGGCCACCCACGACGAGCTGGACTTCGAGTTCCTCGGCAACCGCGCGGGCCACCGGTGGCGGATGCAGACCAACGTGTACGGCAACGGCAGCACGGCGCGCGGCCGGGAGGAGCGGTACGTGCTTCCCTTCGACCCCACCGCCGCGAAGCACAGGTTCTCCATCCTCTGGTCCTCCAGTTCCGTCGTTTTCTACGTCGACGGCACCCCCGTCCGCGAGGCGCAGCACCGCCGTAGTCGCCGTCGTTTTACGGACGGCGGCATGGGTCCCGACGGCGACGACAGTGACATGGGCGCTGACTACCCGTCCAAGCCCATGGCGGTGTACGTGACCATCTGGGATGGCTCCACCTGGGCCACCGAGAACGGCAAGCACACGGTGGACTACAGGCACGGGCCCTTCACCGCCGACTTCTCGGGGCTCGTGCTCCGCGGCTGCCCCGCCGACGCCACCGGCGCAGACATCCGCCAGCTCCACCTCGGCGCTTCCACGCAGCGGTGCGCCACGGCGGAGTGGGAGCTGATGACGGCGGAGTACGCGGTCATGACGGCACGGAAGCGCGCGGACATGCGGCGGTTCAGGCGGAGGCAGATGGTGTACACGGTGTGCTACGACACGGACCGGTACCCGGCGGCGCTGCCGGAGTGCGAGGTGAACGCGGCGGAGCGGCAGATGTTCGAGCGGTGGGGAGAGTCCAAGGCCTCGTTCCGCTCCCGGACGACTGCGCCGGCGCCGCTTGTGTCCATGATGCAGGCCGCCGACTGAGTGATCGCCTGATCGGAAGGACCACCGGCGGCCACGTTGTTGCCTGTACAGTTGCTTAGCTAGTGATAAGAAAATGATTATTATGATGAGCAGTTGGTTGATGGAGCTGTTTAGTTTTGTATCTAATATAATAATAAGTAAAAAAAAAAGCTAGTACCTAATTGAGTGGGTCACTGATAGATTAAAGGTGGTGCTAATTAATCCATTAGCAGGACCAGTATCATTATCTTCTCATTATGTACTAACTCAACTAGTTAGGCTATGATGGCAACATATGATACTACAACATATTCTTTGGTTAGACTGAACTATGAACGGCTTCAAAACTTGGACCTAGAAATTAAGCAATGTTCTTGCAAAAAGCATAACTACCGAACCTACAAATGTTAGTATTTGTTTAAAACATTCAGGTTGAAATATATTGCTGGAAACCACACAATATTAACTAGCCTGTATGTTGGATTTACTTAGCGTGCCTTTACTCTTATGAGGACAGAACCTTACTGTTAGAGGTTTATTTTTTATCAACTTTGTACTAACAAATAAATTTCATGTGTCAGGTAGGTGCATCGTCTTGAAACCGAGGCCAGGACATTGATAAAATATTGTCTTTCTTGCATCACTTGTTTTAAGCTCCCATAGCCTCTGACCCACCCAAGGACATAGCTCATAACCAAGCGATTCCGAGCTATTGATCTGTCCGAGGACCAGTGATTTAATGCCACTGCCTATCTCGAAAGATTCTTATAAAGAGAACGGCTTCCCGGAGCAAAAGATGATTAGTTTACTCACCATTTTGTTTCTATCGAAGCATATTGTACAACCCCATTCGTGTGTGTTTTGACGTGTCCCTAGATACTACTCCCTCCGTCCGGAAATACTTGTCATCAAAATGAATAAAAGGTGATGTATCTAAATGTATTTTAGTTCTAGATACATTCTTTTTTGTCCATTTTGACGACAAGTATTTTCGGACGGAGGGAGTACGTACTAGTATTTAAATTTCATGGGTATGGGCATAGAAGGTACCGGGAACTGGAATACAACATGCACTCCTGGACTAACATGAGTGTTGCGATTGGGTATCAGTTGATGGGGGTGTAGTACACGGTGATGACGACAGTGAATCGCTTGGCCCCACCGTGGTTCGGGTGGAGGTAGATGGTGTACACGGGAGGGGAACTTTTGGTCTATGGGACATATGCACCCTATATGGAATTTTTTTTAGTAATTCAACAAAAAGTCAAAAATTCCTGAAAATATTTTTGAAATAAACTTGACCTTCTATTGTACTCGTGAGAAAAAAATCCACGAAGAAAATATCCCTTTGACTTTTTTCAAAAAAGACAAAATTTTGGCTAAAATAGTGTGAATAGTGACATATAATAGTAAATAAATTTTGTCTTTTTTGCTGTGAGGTCAACTTTTGTTTTCTTTTCTGCCGAGATTTATATACTAGTGCAAAAGTAAGTCAAGTATTTTGTCAAAATAGTTCTTACCTATTTTCACTTTTTATTAAAATATTAAAAATAAATCCCCATATAGGGTGCATATACAACAAGGAACACAAGTGTATTTCCCACACGATGTGCTACAACATGGACCAATACTTGGGTCGTGCTAATGGAATGCGAGTGACATGGCAGGCATCCGTGTTTGAGTGATCTATTTACCCAAAACCACCAGACTTGAACAAGATGAGGAACAAGTAAATGAACAAGATGAAGAACAAGTAAATGTCCTTGTATTGTCATGAAATTATTGGTACGGATATAGTCATTGTTGTAGTTTGTCAGTTTTTTCTCTCGCTTAGGCATAGGTTTGATCTTATATGACTTTGCTCTTTACCAGCGGGCTTTGCATGTGTTGGTGTTGGATGTGTGCATCCTAGGTATGCAGAGGCCTGGTGTGGACTCATTGTGTTTGTATCCACTTGATGCTTCATCTTGTGTCAATAAAATCCATTCTTTATAAAAATAAGTAAATGAGCAAGATGAAGAACAACTAAATGAACTCACCTTCTGTCTATCACACATGAATGTGTACTTTCCGATTTAGCCTCTTCAGTTCCTCCAAAGGCATACTTACTCCAACCACTCCAACCACTCACACATGAATGTCTATCACACCTGGCTGTACGTGTGTTGAACGCGGAAGCGCCGTCCATTCGGCGTTAGATCGGATCTTCCGCGATTTGAATCGCCGCGAGTACGACTCCATCATCTGCGTTCTAGTAACGCTTCCGCTTAGCGATCTTCAAAGGTATGAAGATGCACATTCTCTCTCTCTCTCTCTCTCTCTCTCTCTCTCTCTCTTGTTGCTAGAATCTCCTAGATTGATCTTGGTGATACATAGGAAAATTTTGAATTATTGCTACATTTCCCAACATACGCGCCAAGTTTTTTTTGGAATTTTTTGACATTGCAAAATATGTTTAAAACACTTTTTTAAAACTAGGAGCGCACATGGCTTTACTTAACTTCTCCTTTTGGTTATAGGACAGAACCTTACTGGCTAGGCTTTATTTTACATCAAATTTGTACTAACAAATAAATTGTGTCTCAGCTAGGTGCGTCGTGTTGACGCAGGGGTTAGAAGATTGGTACTTTCTCTATCTCGTATTAGTAGTCGCCCAAATGGATGTATCTAGCATTGAAATACGTCTATCTACATTCATTTCAGCGAGAACTATTTATGCGACAGAGGGAGTAAAATATTGTCTTTCTAGAAACAAAATGCAAGTAAATGCATGCTTCTTTAAAGCTTACTTAGGCTCCAACTACCGATGACAGCTCATAACCAAGAGATTCTATTGATCTATGGGAGGACTAGTGAGTAAATGTCACGTCAATCTCGGAAGTATGTTATAAGGAGCAAGGCTTCCCTGAGCAAAAGATGAATATCTTACTCACCATTCTAGTTCTTTCTGAGCATAGTTCACACCCCATTTTGTGTGTTATTTGATGTGTCCCTAGATACAGTAGTTGAACTTCATGGGTATATATAGGCATAGAAGGCAGCAGGAATTGAAATACAACATGCAATCATAGACTAACTCGGTCATCTGCATTGCGGCTGAGTAAGAGTTGATGGGGGACGAGTATGCACTGATGACGACGCTGAATCACTTGGCGCCATGGTGGTTGAGGCAGAGCCAGATGGTCTACACATTGTGCTATGACATGGACAAATACTTGGTAGTGCTGCATGGAATGTGAGTGATGTGGCAAGCACTAGGAGTTTGAGTGGTAGGGCAAGTCGGAGATCCTCCACTCCATTCAGTACCGTACAATGGCATCAGGTCCGTGCATGTAGCATGCCGAAAAAAGGTGATCCAAGATACTGTAAAATTGCTTAGCTAGTGGTACAAAAGGAATTGATAACAATTGTAACTATTGAAGTTTACGCAACGAATACATCACAAGGGTATGCTAGTAGTTGTCTTGATGTATAGATATTTTTTGGACTTTGCATTTGTTAAGAACGCCGAAAATTGCAAAATCATTTAAAAAGAGAAAATTGGGATCATAGCATATCCGTTTCATTTGTTTGCACCGGAAAGGAAATACCATAGCATGAGTATTCATTTAGCGGGGAAGACATTCACGATAAACAAAAGTATGCAAGAATTGTGGAATAGAAAAAAGGGAAAATAAATAAGAAAAGAAAAGGAAACCAAAAACATGAACAAAGAGATTAAAAAGGAAATCAAAGTCAAAAGAAAAAATAGCAATAATCAAATGGAAAAACTGTAAACAAATAATGAAGAAAACTGGAAAAAGAAAACAAGACAAAGGTAATAAAGAAGAAGATACAGAAAGTAAAAAAGTACATATACAAAGAAAAAAAGAAGGATGAAGCAAATTGACACTGAAAAAGCATGTGTGATACACCAAAAATAAGAAACAGAAAAAACCAAGGAAACCTAAACAATAACCGGATCAGGGGCACGACTTTGTCATGTTTTGTGCGAGACCGAACATCCCCTCGACAAAGGAGGTGTGTAGTAGACCAGCTGATTAGCGTTAGTTTGGATCATTTTATTTTTTCTTTAAAATTAAACAAATATAAATACATACCTTTAAAAATAATTTAGTTAAATTTTTAGAAGTGCCATCGCACATGTTTTTTTAAATACCCATGCAGTAAAAAAAATGTCCGCACAAACATTTACGAAAGGTTTGATAGAGTTTTAAAATGTCTATTAAATTAAATGTTCACACACTTATCCATATGTTAGTGACATTTAAAAATATATTAATAATGTCTAGAAAGTTTTACGCACGGAACACATCACATGGGTATGTGAGTAGTCATCTTGATGTATTGCTAATTTTATGGGCGCCTAGTGCCTTGTTCAATTTGCGTTTGTTTAGCACGTCAAAAATTACAAAATCGTTTAAGAAGAGACAAAATGGGGTCATGGCATGTCTATTTTAAAACACACAAATTGATCTTGCTTTTGACTTGAAAGTTATTTGCAGGGATGTGGTTCACAGCAGAAAGAAAAGAACATAACATGATTATTCATTTAATTAGTGGGTATGACATTCCCATCGATAGCGATGGACATACATGTTACATGTAGCAACTCTGTTAGTCCTCGTCTCTTCGATACACATACCAACCATGTTGTGCTTAATTCTAGCTGTTGGATATAGCTTCATACCTTTATTTTATCAAAGAGAATGCGGAATGTCAATTTATTATAATTGCTAGTTAATTTTTCCTTCAATTTTTTGATTCACCATTAGGTTTCAAGTGTAGTTTAACTATTTGAGTAGTACAAAGTCACAAATTTGTTTGAATTCTAAATTAAAATCAAAAATTCATGCATAGAGAATATTGGCATAATTACAGTGTCATGTGGCATCCTGTCACACTGTTTCTTTGGATTAAAAGGCAGAAACCATGGTAAATCAATGCGTTCAATTCAGGTTTGACCTTTTATTATATTTAAAATGAAATAGAAGAAAATCCTTCTCCTCTTAAACTTCAGT